CCCACACGTGTCCCCCATGGCCATCTCCCTGACTTCTGCCTCTATGACAAGAGGCCCAGAGAAGGGCTGTCCCTCCAGGGAGCCCCCTGGCACCAGGGGTGTTTCCTGTGGCATTTCTTCCTGATGCTGGGCTCTCCGTCCAGGGTCACTGCCTGGGAGCCGGGCATTGGTGACAAGGTCAGGTGGAGAAGCAGTCACCCTTGCTTCCTACTGGGAGCATCTCAAGGGGTCCAACACCCAGTGTCTGACCACGTATGCGCTTCTGGAACGACCAGTGGAGGAGAAGCAAAGAGGCGGCCCAGATCTGCCCCAGGGCTCGTCTCAGCACACCCGCTGTGTGAAACGTCTCATTCGGTTTGGTTCGTGGCCGCGGTGGTCCCTCCGCCAGCTGCTCACCGAGGGGCAGGGGGCCTTCGCCGTGGAGCCCGTGGGCCCTGCTTCGAAAGGGGGGGAGCCTGCGAGGAGCGCCCCCTCGGGGCCAGGCCGCCCACGGGGCACTCGGCCCTCCGGTCGCTCCCGGACGTGCAGGCTGGAGTGGGGAGGGGACCAGAGTCGCGGCCCCCTCCCCGCCCCCGGACAGCGTGCTCCCCAGGCCGACCCTCCGCCTCCCGGCTCCTCCTGCGCCGCCACGCTTCCCGCGCCCCAGCCGCGCAGGGCCGAGGACCCCGGGACGGATCGGCCTCGCCAGGCCCGGGGACCCAGGGCGGGGCGCAGCCGGGGCGGTGGCGGCCCCGGGTCTCCGGATCAGCGCCCCCGTCGTCCGGCCCAGTGGCTTGAGTCCCCGCCCGGCCCCGGAAGGGTGGCGCCGCCACGTCCCCCGCGGGTCCCGCCCCCGTCCCGGCGCGGCGGCCGGAGGTGGCGCGGCCGACGGGTCGCTGAGCGTGCCCCTGAGCCCCTGAGGCCCGAGGTCCCCATGTCCCGGGTCCCCCGTGTTCCCGCATCCCCGCTGGGGCGTCTCGGGACCGGCCTCGATGGCCTCGGGGCAGAGCACCGCCAGCCCAGAGGCTTCCTGATCCGGAACCGAGAGCAGGGCGCCGGCCCAGGTCCCCCCTGCGCTGTCGCAGCTACCCAAGCTCGCCAGGACGGCTGCGCGCAGGACCTTCTCCAGAACCGGGTCCTTACCTGTGTCCTGGCTTGTGTCGGTCACGCACGCTCAGCGTCCCCACTGCGCCCAAGGCCTTCACGGAAAGATTTCACGCAGAACACGTGGGGACCTGAAAGGACGGTGCCTGTGAAGCCTATGGAGGGGGTCCCTGGGGCCCCCGACCTGACTTGTTACGGGAGGGCGGGGCTGAAGGACCACGATCACGTGTCCCCACGTTCCCCCAGGAGGGGACACCACTGTTCCCTCACATGCGCGCTGCCATGGGCTCTGTCTGGAGGTTTGGGAATCTCAGACTGTAGGCACTTGGACCCAATAGTTGGGCCGCCAACCCCTTGAGTTGTGCCTGGAGCTCAACCTCCTTTACAGCGTAAATTCCGACCCGGAGACTTGACTTTCTGCGTTTGTACCCAGACGTTTGACCTGAGCCCAGCCCGGGCGAGGGGGTTGCATGGTATTTCCGCACAGGAAAATGGAGGGCAAATGGTTTTCATCTTCTGTTCCGAATATTTGTCCTTGTGGGAATTATTCCAGCGCGTCTCCCCGTTTCCTCGCGACGCTGCCCTTGCCTCCTGGCTCTTTCCGGGGAAGCACATTCCCAGGGGACACAGAGTCAGGTGGGGGCAGTTTCTGCAACACGCCCTTTGACGAGGGTTGGCTTTGTCTTCTCCGGGGGAGCATGTCTCTGGAAGGAAACCCTTCGCCGCTGTGATGCCGCCCAGGCGTGGAAACCGAATGAAACCATATAAAGAGCGGATCGGCCTACTGTCTGGTGGCGGGAGAGAATTTCTGGGAAAAACTTCTAATGCACTGGAAGTCTTGCTGACTTTGGGTTGGGGTTTTCTTGGGCCTGTTTTACCCGCGGAAAGCCTTTCCCACAGGTCACTACTTACAGCGACTCGGGTGGCTGTCGCTCAAGGGCGGTCGTTGGAAGACGCTTCCGGTGCATAACCGAAACAACTCAACAGGGGAGAGTTGAACGTTCATCGCTACGTCACTTTGTTAAAGGCACATGCGAGTAACGGTTATTCACGTGTGGCCGGTTCTGTCCTCACAGGACGGTCGCCTCCCTCCTAACGTGGAAACAAACTCAGTCCCCACAGGTAAGCACATCAGGAACCTTGCTACTGACGCCCTAGGAGACCTCAGTTCCCAGCACAGGCAGGGGCTGGCCTTGGCCTTCAGGCCCTTCCCTCTCTCTTCACAGGACAGGGGACCCAGAGTCCCTCCCCACCCCCCCGATGAGCCCCGAACCTCCCATCTTCAGGGACCTCCCTGGACAGTGTCACCCCCACCCTGAGGCAGATCCCATCCCCCTTACTGGAGAGAAAGTCTTAATCACCTGCAGGGGCACAGGCTGAGCTGACCATAGTTCTCCTGGTGGGCAGTGGGGCCTCGGTGGGGAATCTCCTTCTGGAAGCCTCGGTCCGCCCCGACAGCAGAGCCCAGCCTGTGTCTGCGGTGGGCAGGGCACAGCACAGGGCTAGGTCCCCAGGCACAGACGACAAACAGTCCTGGCCCCACCCAGGCCCGGGCCTCGGCCGAGGACACAGCTGGACTCTGAGCCGCATGGGGGGCCTCAGGCAGCACCCCTCCATGCCCCAGTGTGCCATGGGGCAGGTAAAACATGGGTCCCTCCCTGCCTGCAGGATGTGGGGCCAGAGCACGGGTACTGGGGAGTCTGCGGTCCTGGGGCCACGGTCAGAAAGGGTCCCTGCCCAGGCACCCCCTCCAGCCTTGACCACCAGGTCCCGGTCCAGAATGGCTCAGGCCTAGGGACACAGGCCCTGCAGGGTCCTCTGCCCTTCTCTGCAGCCATGGGGCTGGGGCCCTGGACACAGGACCAGGTCTCTCTGTCTCCACCTGCTGGGCTGATACTGCCTCCGCCTTGCCTCCCCGTCAGCCTGGAGATCTTGGGGCAAGTGTCCTGTGAGCCAGCTCTTTGTCCCCAGGTGAGCACAGCCCAGGCAGAGCTGGCTGGTGCTGGGGAGAGCCTCCCTCCCTGGCCTCTGCCCAAACCCCACCCCACCCCCACCCAGGGCCCCTCAGGCAGTCCCTGGCTTCCCCCACCTTCCAAGGGAGGCCCTTCTGTCTGTGGCCCACAAGTGAGGGGGTGTCTTCAAGAAATGTCCCAGGAAATGCAGGGATTCCTGGGCCATTCCCGATCCACTCTGGTGCTGGAACCGGGCCGGCCTTGCTCAGGCTCAGGGCTGCCTGGGCAGTGCACGTGGAGCCTGCCCCCACCAGCCTCCTGGGGCCGGGGGGGGGGTGGAGACCCCAAATTCAAGGGCAGATGAAGCGGGGAGCCTGCCAGGGAGCCTCAGACTGCGTCCCATGTCTCTCGTGCCCCTTCCTGTACCTGGGACCCCTGCACCCCTGCCTCTGCTCCGAGCCCCTCCAGACCCCTTTCCTCTTGGGAGGTTTCCACCTGGGAATCACGACATATCACTCCCTTTGTCCTTTGATAAACTTTTGTCACCGGGACCTGAGGGAAGGCCCTTCTGTGTCCAACGCCCCTTCCCCTTTCTGCCCCCGGCCCCTGCCAGGCACCACCCTCAGCCGCCCCACTTGGCCCAGCATCTGTCCCAGGAACCCAGCCCCTGACACACCCCCTGGGGCCCTGGCCCCAGCCTCCCACAGGCCTGGGAGGGGCCCACTCCGTGGTCTTCAGGCCCTTGGCTCCTCGGTCTCCCAGACTCGGTTCAAGCCTCACGGAAGCCTCTACCCTCCCCTGCGCCTGAGCCCCTCCCCACGGCTGCTCACAGGGAAGTCAGAGACCAGCTCAAGTCCAGCAAAAAGGACAACGCAGCAGAGTGGGGTGTGAGGGGTGCAGGGAAAGCAGGGCCGAGGGGGTGCTGTGCGGTGAGCGCCGCGTGAAAACACGGGAGCCAGGCCGCCAGGGGACCTGACTTCAGGAGCGAGAAGTACAGCCCAGGTTCAGGGTCAGGAGAAGGGAGGAGGTACACACGGAGGATGGAAAAATAGGGGAACACCGGGACGTGGAACCTACAGTTGGCTCCTTCAAAGAGCAGCACACTTGACAGACGCTTGACTAGATGCACTGAGAAAAACGGACTCAAATTAGAAAAGGAGGCATGAGATCGGGGCATCAGCACCGACCCCACAGAAACAAGGGGCCGTGGGAGGTCCGGGAGGAACACGCTAGGCCAAGGAGGACGACCCTCGCGGGAAGGACAGAAGGCGCAGCCGGTGCAGGAAGCCGTCCTGAGAGGTTTTCTTAGAGTTTCCACCAGTGGGAGCAGTTACACCACCGATGGGACGTGAAGGAAGAGAGAGGTGACAGGATCCTGGCAACTGGAGCAGGCACTCGGTCCCAGCGAGGTGACGGCCTGGGAGCCGCGCAGGGTGTCTCTGGACCAGACGGAGCACGTGTGTTCCTGACGGCGAGGCTCCCGAGCCACAGCAAGGCTCTCAGAGCAGGCAAGTGTCACGCGGACTCGGGGCCACGTGGACGACCTCAGCCCCACTCCCCTCCCCCAGATGGCAGGCCCTCAGGGCTGGGGTCTCTGTTCAGGAGGCCCCTGGGGGTCTAGTCTGCCCCACCCCCCTACCCCGGCTTGGCCCAGCCAGCACTCCACAGCGGGCCCCTGGCGTCCATGCAGCCTGGAAGGGTGTACCCCAGGCGGGGTTCGGAAGGTGCTGAGAGCTGGGGGGTGGGGGGGGGGTGGGCCTGGTGCTGAGCCCCCGGGTGTCAGCACCACTGCCCACTGGGGTGTGCCCTAGGGAAGTCTGGGGCGAAGAGCCCCAACCGCTGCCACACCCCTGCCCGCCCTGATGTGGCTTCTGCAGGGAAGGGTGGGGCCGCCGGGGCCGCAGCCTCAGAGCCCTGCGCGCAGGAAGGAGCAGCACCCGACCGGGGAGGGACCCCGAATGGCCCAGCGAGAGGCGCACGCGCTGAGCACCAGGAACAGGGGAGGCTGTGGGGGTGGGAGGGAGAGGCAAACCGAGGGCTTCCTGGAGGAGGTGGTGTCATCCCAGCCAGGCCTGAGGGGCCGAGGCAGCCAGAGTGGCAGGGACGTGTCCAAGGGGGAAGGAGCCACGGGCAGGTTCCGGGCCCCGCAGAGCTGCTTTGCTCTGAAGAGAGGGGCCACGGGCTGGCCAGGACACCAGGCCACGTGGGTGGGCAGTCAGGGAGAAGACAGGAATGGACAGGCGAGAGGCGAGGCCTGAACTAGGGCAGGGCCCCAGAGGTGGTGGGGGAGAGGGGTTGGGGAGGAGGGAGCAAACAGCCCGGAGGTGGTGGTGGCCAGCTGGGACAGTGACCAGCACCCAGTCTTGGGAGCCACCTTCCCTCTGCAGGCCCAGGTCCCAGGGTCTGGCCAGGAGCCACCCCCACAGTATGTTTAGACCAAACTCCCAGCCCAACGGGGACTCCCCAGCACGAGAGTGAGAAGGGGGACAGG